GCACCCTGGGTCTCCAGTATGGCTGGGTCAGAGTGTGGCTGATGCAGAATTAAGTCCTCACTCCTCCCTGGCGAACCCATGTCTCTCTTCTTTGCTTCTGTGCTCTGGCTGGAGCAGTCTCCTGCTATACCACTACCAGTCACCAGTCACCCATCCTTAAAGACCCATATCAAACCCGGGTCTTCAGAAATCCCTCCCTAAACTCTTGCTAGATTAGATTTACTCTTCCATAGGGTCTCACGGCATGCTATTTGTGATTCTTATTTTCCTGTATTACCTTCAAGCCTTGACTCTTCCTCTCCACTGAATTGTAAACTCTTTGAGATACCAAGAACCGCATATGACTCAAATATGTTATCTCTTCCTTCAGTGTAAGTGCCACACTGCAAACCTAGTAGGCACTCAATAAATATCTTCTTGAATTTGGAGTCAAAGCAGCTGCTGTTGGGGTTTCTTTGCTGTTAGTGGCTGTGAAACAGGAGGGAAGAGCGCAGGGCACAACCTTGAAAAGAATGACACAGTCATTGAGGATACGACATGAACTAGTTAGAACCAACTAGGTCCAAAACGACAGAATATTTGACTTTCAGGGGACCCTGGGCCTCATTATTTGTTTATTGTAATGTATTACCATGCTAATGGCATACCCACTAATGCCATGACAGTTTCCAAGCTGACCATACAAGGCCAAAAAGTGGGCAGTGGTCCAATTCCTGGAAATCTCCATCCTTTTTCCAAAACAGTTGGAATAATCCTCCCACTCATTAGCCTATGAAATTACCCAGCACAAGAAAACTAACCATCCCATATTTTGGGGCCTCTCACATTCTGAGATGGCGCACATTCTGTCTGTGGACTTTGTTTCTCCCAGGCCTCTCTCACCTTTTGAGATGGACTGTATTCTATCTATGGAATGTGTATCCCTCTAAATAAATCCACTTCTTACCTATCACTTTGTGTCTCACTGAATTCTTTCTGTGATAAGACATAAAGAACTTGAGCTTTAATAAGTCCCAATCAGAGTTTTGGTGGGGTTCAAATCCCATCTGAGTTCTGTGGTTTCAGCCACATGACTCAGTTTGCCAACTCTCTTAGTCCCGCTTATCTTATCTTTAAAATTAGGATGTTGAACAAGATAATCTTTAAGGTCGTTTCCAACCCCAGATTCTCTGATTCTGTGTAGTCTATTCTTATCCCTATAGACTACACACAAGCCCTACTGACACTCGGCATAGTTGGCTACTGGATTAGAGATGGACACAAATTCTTTGATATTCCTCTCATAGAGGGGCGAGGTCTACTTCCCCTCCCCATTATTCTGGGTTGTACTGTAACTGGCTTTGGCCAATAATAGACTGCAAAGGACATGATATTGTGCCAGTTCTGGGCACAGTAAGTGGCTGTCCTGAGCAGGGTCAGGATGAAGTAGGGGGAGAGAAGGTGAGGAAGAAACTTGGAACTTTGGGACTCCAGAGACAAGCCTCTAACAGGGTATGGCAGTTTTGGCTTTATGCATCCTGGGACACTAGGTGTTAGGGATCTGAACCATAATAGGGAAGAACAAATCTGACTCCATATTGAACCTGTTTCTTTTACTTTAACCTTTGTATTATATTGCTCTTGCTACAAGAATGCTGCCTATAGCCTGCAATATACAGGACAGTCCATTCTCAAGGGTCTGATGTTTCAAGGTATAATGTCAGAGATACATTTTCCACTCATACAGAGATAAAAGGTTCAGAACAGAGAATAACATTTGTCTTGTTGGAGGTTTATAGGAACATTGTGACCAGACCTAGGTGAACAGAAGAAAGGATTCTGGCACCAAGAAGTTCACAGCAACCAACCACACTCTGTCCCCTTTTAGCATAGAATAAACCTGAACTCTTAACTCAAGTAAGATGGTTTTCAGGGATACTAGTCCACCATCTTCTCAGTCCGCTGGCTTTCTGAATAAAGCCACTATTCCTTGCCCCAACCATTTATCTCTTGATTTACTTGCCTGTTGTGTGGGAAGCAGTACGAGTTTGGACTCAGGAGCAGAATTGTTTATTACGTGAAACCTGGCCAACTTACTGCAGAGACGACGCAGAGAAGCTTTGAGTCTACAGGAAGAGAGAGGGTTTATGAAGTCCAGTCTTCCAGTCATCCCTGCCAAGGTGCCAGACATGTGAGTAAAACTGTTTCGGGCCCTCCAGATCAGCCCCACCACTAGCTAAAGGCCAGCCAGTGATCCCAGTTGACACCACCTCGAGCAGGAGAATCACGCAGGTGAGCCCTGCCCTCCTTCCTGAGATATAAAATCACAATACATAATAAAATGGTTGCTGTTTCAGTCAGCACATTTAGGGAAGTTCATTACGTAGCCACAGACAACCAGAATACTGTGTTGATGGCATTCTGTGAAATTCTTTGCAGTTTAACATGCAAATATTTGATAGATGTTGGAGAAAACATGAATGAATACACCCGTTCATAAAAGAAACCTGTTAAAGTGGATGACATTTTGCGCTCTTTCCACTGACTTTGATTTCTCAAGTCAATTACATGGGCGGTGGACACATTTTTAGAGCAAACCCACTAAAAACAAGGGCCTCCTTGAGATCTCTCTGAATGACTATGACGTAGCCCAGGAGCGCGGTGTCAGGACTTGTCCAGCGGATGTAGGAGGAGGCAGGGAATTGTAATGAAGGCTGGAGAAGGTGGGGCCCTCACTCAAAGAGGGCTTTGTCTGCTCCTGAACACAGTGTGGCCGTTTCCTCGTTTCCTCGGGCGAAATGTTCAGTTTGGGAGAGATTTGCAATTTGAAAAGACAGATTTTATTTCCTCCTCTTCCCAGCTAATTTAAACCTCCACTGATCCCAAGGGAGATTTTTAGTGCAGTATAATAAGGACACTTTCAGAATCACAGCCTCTTTTTTTCTGAATGTGTTTCTTATGTAAATGCTGCATCAGAGCCATTTCCCTCTTCTTTACACTTTACTTCTGCTTTTAAAACCTGCAAAATAGAAACACAGAGAAAGACACCTTGAAAATACTTTGGGTTTCATCTCTTTTCCATTTTTACCTCAGGCTCCCCACATTTTAAAAAAAATCCTTATTCTTCAAGTCAAGCATATTTAAAAATCATGTTCTGTTGAACTGGAGAAGCAGAAAAAAAAAAAAGATTCCTGTATATTTAGGTCCAAATATACCAAGAATGCAAGGCACTTTATAATGATCTAACAATCCTCAGAAGGCCGCAGTGAGATCAGGTGGCCGTCAAGAGTCATTCAAAGAGGCCCCCTCTGAGGCTATGGTGCTCCCCTCTCCCATAACAGTGTTTCTGGAGGCAAATGGGGGTGAGGGGGGTGGGGGGCAGGAGGGAAGAAAAGTGCTGGCTGCATAGGGCTCTTTCAAGAAGGTTTTCTTTTTTTCCTGACTCCCTTCCACTTTCCCACTGCCTCTCACTAGGGAGAACTGGCCACGGTGTAGTGTTTGCGGTCCACGCTTGTTACCCTATATGGCGGCTATTCTACAATACCTAACTGTACCGATTTGTTCATATCTATTCACCTGGGCTCCCAGTCTGACTGTGGCTCAGATCATGAATTCCTTATTGCAAAATTCAGAATTAAATTGAAGAAAGTAGGGAAAACCACTAGACCATTCAGGTATGACCTAAATCAAATCCCTTATGATTATACAGTGAAAGTGACAAATAGGATTCAAGGGATTAGATCTGATAGACAGAGTGCCTGAAGAACTATGGATGGAGGTTTGTGACATTGTACAGGAGGCAGTGATCAAGACCATCTCCAAGAAAAAGAAATG